ATCGAAATCAAAAATCGTCATCTTTCAGGAAATTTCGGGTATTGAATGCACTGTATATCTGACCATATGAATTTGAGTATGCCAATTAACCAAACATTTTCACCGAAGATGAGATTTGCCTGAAATTCTCCATAGGGTTATTCAGAACTTTGCGAATATCAAGTCTTGATAGATCTCGAAAGAAAAAACAGCAGTCTCCTCATGAGTCATTTGTTTCATAACTAAGATAAAGGTTCGAAAATTTTCTCAGGTAAGTTGATATTCTATGAGATATAGCGCTGTGAAATTCTTCAGGTGTATTGATAGGATTGAATGAAAAACATGTCATAACTGAATCATTCCAATCGATATACAGTCGTCCATGTTTAAAGAGTGCCTACTGCTGATAGAAATGTATATTGAACTTTACAAACTATCAATAGGTAGGTATACTTTCCTGAACAAATCAAAATCAGATAAACAATAATTTTATGATATCAAATGTGTATACTGTACATATCTTCCAATGTTACATGATAGTGAATTGTTATTTTATACTCTCCATTGTGATTTCTAACGATCAATAAATCTGCCCAATCAGTATACCGGGTGACACATATGTTATCGGTCGACCCCTGTAATTTCTGCATTCGTAAAAGGATTTTTCTGAAATTTGGTATGGAAACATCAGCAACCATTTCGAATTTGATCACATTACAATCCATTATGATGACGTACTTCCGGTTTGTCTGAAACGCCAGTAACTCTCTTTTTACAAATGGAGCACCTAGTATATTTTCACATATTCAAGTTCAACAGGTCAAAACTAGTGCATTCCTTATGTCAAATGTAATTTTTTTTTAAATATTCAAATAAAAATTGTTTTTTATTATACCTTATCGATAAATGAGATGTGGTCAAAGCAATTGAGACAATGTGTCGCAGATAACTGAGGAACTTATTTTTTTCTTAGAAATTATTGTTCCTGTCACTTATCGATTAATTAAGTCAGTCATTTTTTCCAATGACATCCCTATGGACCACCAAATTCTGAATTGTATACAAGGATTCAAAAACCAACAATGATTTGAATATCAACAACTGCACCTTTCACAATTGTAATTCAAAAAGCGTCAACTGTAATTCTGACTATATTATTTGTAATTCAGATTAGTTGTTTGAAATTCAGAAAGCGGCAATTAAAATCAAGAAAGTGTCATTTCAGAATGTATCATTTGCAATTCAGAACGGGTAAAATGTAATCCAGACTACGTCATTTGTATTTCAGATTGGTTAATTGGAATTCAGAAAGTGTCAGTTGAAATTCTGATCAGTCAATTGAAATTCAGACGATATCAATTTCAATTCAGATTGGCCAATTGTTATTCAGATATAGTCCTTCAAAATTCAGGAAGCTTCATTTGTAATTCAGAAATATGGAACAGTGTTACCTTTGCTTGTTGAGCCAAGCGTAATGAATTACGTTTTCTAATATAACTTCCCCATTTTACCTGAAAATTGATTTCAATTGACCATCAATGAAAATAATTCCATAATTCTGAAGTCGCTGGTTCTATGTACATGAATACCTTCATGAATCCATATCAGTCTGAATTACAATTGACACATTCTCAATTACAATTGATGATATCTGAATTTCAATTGATGCTTTCTGATTTTCATTTCACTAATCTGAATTACAATTGGAGTTTTCTGGATTTCATTCGTCTAATCCGAATAACAATTGATATTTTTTGAATTTCATGTTACTTATCTGAATCACAAATAACGTAGTCTGAATAACAATTGTTGCATTCTGAATTACAAATGACGATATCCGAATTTCAATTGACGCTTTCTAAATTCCAGTTGGCAAATCTGATTCACAGCTGAAGTTTTCTGAATTTCACTCGACTCATCTGAATTGCAATTGATAGTTTCTGAATTTCAATTAGCTAACCTGAATTTCAATTCACGATTTCTGAATTACAATTGAAACTGGTGTAAGTCATAGATTTCCATGCAGTTATAATGATTCCAATTGTTTCGAAAACATGACATTTGACATAAGGATTACACTCATTTTCACCTGTTGAACTTGAATATGTGAAAATATACAGGGTGTTCCATTTGAAAATATAAAGTTGTTAGCATTTCCAGAAAAACTGAATGATGTGATTAAATCTGTACCAAATTTCAGAAGAATCCGTTCACGAATGCTGAAGTTACAGGGGTTGTCCGAAACCCTGTGCCACCTAGGTAAATCAATAATTCATGTGCCATATTCATAAAAGTTTTCCAATGAATCAGTATAGGCATATTCGTTATTCCAAGATTCGCTTTCCCGTTACATAGGGAGTTGACATCTCATCGAACGAACAAAAGGATAAATTAAATTCAACTGGGATTTGTCTGCTCTGTAAAATTTCATTCCGTATTTATCTGAATTCCTCAGGAGATCGAAAAACAAACGGAACATGACATGCTTTCACCGTTTGATTTCTCTCAGAGGATTCCATCAAGTTGAAAATATAAACACTTTTTCCTCGAAGTAGCATTCGTTATATTTTCTGATATTTTGTGACAGAATCAATGATCTGCTAATATTGAACTCCTAGACAGTACCCAGAATGAGAGAGAGGAATTGACATCATAAAAATGAGACGCAAGGTCCAACGAAATCGGAAAAGTCGATGGTTGTTTGAAATTTTAGCCATTATAATAACTAATTATTGTATAGTAAATTTGTATTGAGTTAATTTGTATATTATAGACGATTGGTGACCTAAGTAAACAAATCCATACGTTTGATTGAGCTAAAAGACTCAGGGCCGGTTGCATTAAAGCATTTGAGACTTGAGAGACGAATAAATATTTAATTTTTTCTGTGACGGGAAAAAAGTTTGGCATTTCATCTCTGTTGGCAGGTTATAAAATGTCACTTTCATAAATTACTTTTTTCCCGTGGGAAAAAAGTGAGTACTTTCTTCCCGGATATATATCACATATTTATACACTGTTGATGGCTTTTGTTGTGCTATAGTTGCCAAAAATGAGTCCCCAGGTAACAAGCTGACGTCATTTGTACGTCATTATCACGTCAGGCCTGACGTCAGGATGACTTCCAAAATGACGTCATAATGACGTTTATATGACCTTCTAAGTCAAAGACGAATGACGTCATTTTTATGTCGTCAAAATGACGTCATCCTAATGGCGTCAAAATGACGACATCCTAATGGCGTCAAAATGACGTAATCTTTACGATTATTTATAATACTGGAATCTCCTGCACGTTTCAGTTTATTTTGTGCTATTTCGAAATTTTCTGTAGGTAACAAAAACACTGTTGTATTAGGGTTGTATCAATATTATCAGAAGAGATAAGATTTTTTTTGTATAATTATATTGATGTTCCTTCACCACATTGAATACGAAAGTTTCATTAAATTTTCTTTTTATTGGGAACTTATTCCATTCGGATGATGCACTCGAGAGATTTCTCAGAGCTCTCGGCGTATACCACTTGTCTGAATTAATGACCATAATGCTGCTATCCTCAAATTCTACTACTTGATACATGAATATGAATAAGTATGACCACCACACCACACCACATAGATAGCCGAATAACATGATAATGATGGTCTTCTATGTATTGTTATCTTGTTGTTATGGTCATCATGGCCGCAACGGCGAAGCGAAAGTGAGTGAACGGCGATTCACAACCGGCAACTGCTTGGCCGTTGGTGTCTTGGCATGGCGCTGGCGGTCGACGTTCGCATGTCTGCGCAAGGTCCGTGCCGACCAATCAAGTACAGTTTTCTACACACTCTCCCGCTCTGATTTGAATTCGCATTCTGGAATAACAACGTTATAAGCTTTTTATGCCGTGAAATTCGGTCTGATATTTTTAATAGCTATGAGGAGAATACTTTGCACAGAAGGTATATAATTAACAATCATCTCAGAGACCATCGAAAACACACAGCTCGCACAGATTAGAGGAAAAATTATTATAAAGCATAATATATGATGAGTGACATAATAATATGTGTTATATAACATAACTACCAATGTTTTCATTGTACAGAGATGGGAAACTTCTTGATTATGAATTTTCCTTGATGTAGATGACTCAATAAATGATGGTCATAATTAGTCATGATAATGACCATCAGATGACGTGATATTGACGGCATATCATGGACGTCTATATAACGTCATATCGAGTACGTCAAAATGACGTCATTTTGAGGTCATATGACGTCAATGACCATAAATGACCATATATTGACGTACAAATGACGTCAGCTTGTTACCTGGGTCAATAATACCGTCTCCGAGATAGAACTGCAATTTTTTGAAATCAAATAACAGAATTAGACTGACAGAAGTGACATCAGATATTTGATTACTTCAAAAGAATGATAAAGATGCCTACAACGCAGGTGTCCCTACTGTTAAAGACTTAAAATTTCACATCGATAATTTTCAGATTTCAAAATAATGTAATAGCTTCTCAATATCGATTCGTCCTTTCTTCTGTCACAGAAAAAAATAGTGTATTGTACACGGGAAAAATATTAGATTTTAGCTCACGGTTTTTTGTCTCCCTCCGCTAAGCGCGTCGGGAGACAACACAACCTGGAGCTAAAATCTACTACTTTGTTTCCTCGTACAATGAATAATTGTTTTTATACGGTACGTGATCTGTTCTTTCCTCGGAATCTAAATGTAATCTCTCACCAAGATTACAAAAAGTCTTGAACGACACACGGCCGATACTAAATAACGGATTCGGTTGTTATTATTCAACCTCATCCCTAATTTGCTGCAATCAACCTTGTGACGTTAATAACTATTTGAATCTTCATTCAAGTCGATGGCAGTTTATTGATCGTGTATGGAATTTATTTAAGAACCTTTTGAGAAGTGATTTTCCTGTCAACGAGCTCCAACCGCCATCATATAGCATAGAACTGACATAGCATGCCATGTAATAATGGCTTTTTCTTTCAGAACTATGACTGCCATTTGTTTCGTCTGCAATCTTCCGATTTTATCGCATCAGGTTGGACTGGTTTGGCAAGGAGGAAATGGATGGGACGATTTAGTTCGAGAACAGGTAAATATACAAGGTGTTTTTGAAATAAGTGCACATATTCAGCATATTGATACGATACAGTCGATAAGGAATATTCTCATGATATCAGATTTTATTTTGATCCCTAGATTTGTTTTATTAGTACCATTCGATAGTACACGTCGAGCTTTCTTAGTGTTTGAAACATTTGTACTTATTTTAATGCCGACCTGTATATATGATCAAAGTATATACTTATATAGGTACAGAGTGACTCAAAAATATGGAAACCTGTTGAGGCACACAGAAAATAGCAGTATTTCTACATTGACATTCCCCTTTTTTCCCCTGTGGTCTTCAATTGGAATGCAAATTTTGTATGAAATTATGAAAATATATAGCTCCAAATGATGAGAGCAATATACTCCAATCATTCTGGCCAACTGATTTTGTATGTGTATATGTGTTATTTAATTGAAGGATATAACAATCATTACCTATATGGATTTTCCGCTTATGACTATGTAAAATTATAGAAAAAACTGTTGCCAATGAAAAACTGGCTCACATTACAATACAGGGTGACGTAAAAAGAAGTACATTGCATATAGTGCCACACGATAGAGGACACTGAAATAAGACAAAAAGTTCTCATGAACACGGGTCTCTTGAATTTTTTTTTATTTATCTGCAAAAATAATGATGAATACTTCAATAATTACATTGAAAAAACCCATATATACCACATGTTATCCTTTTCTTGCGTCTCTGGCTGAAGATATTAGAAAAAAACAAAAAACATTATTCCAATTCAACACCCCGTATCTTTTAAACGAAGGCCTTGCGGACACGTGTTTATGGGAACTTGTTTTCTTATTTTAGTTAGTGTTCCCTATTGTGTGGCACAATGCAATGTACTTCTTTCTATGTCACCCTGTATTGTGATGTGAGCCAGTTTTTCATTGGCAATAATTTTTTTCTATGATTTCACATAGTTATAAGCGAAATATGCATATAGGATAATGCTTGTTATATACTTCAAATAAATGACACATACACATATAAAATCAGTTGGTCAAAATAATTGAAGTAGATTTGCTCCCATCAACTGGACCTATTTTTAGGATTCCATACAAAATTGGCATTCCGATTGATTATTTCAGTGATTTGTCCCTAGGATACTACTCATTATTATTATAACCTGATCGAAACATTTTTGACGCTTTGAGTACTTATACCAATGAGTGTAGGTATCAAATATCCACCACCAAAACAATATATTTGAATAATCTGCATTCAACGCACGAATAAAATGATCACCCGGGGAATCATTACTATATTGAGCAATTATCTGTGCATTTATATTGGTATATCCATTAGCAGATGAAACCCGGAAATGTGGAGGTAATGAATAGAAACCACTGAGAGCTAAAATACAGAACTTGATTGATCCCGTGGTTTCGTAATAACACCACTAAGGAACCTATATATGAACTCATTCACGGGTTGAATGTCGAAGATAATTCTAATATGCTTAGAGCAAAACAGCATGTTGCCGATACAATAGTTTTTTAGTGTGATTCACAAACTTATGAATTTATTTCTTCGAATCACCACACAGGAATTCCACACATAGTTTGTGTAGCAAGTGGAAATGATGTGATAGGCTGTGAGACCATTTTTTTAAATTGTTTGAATAGAATCATCACTCAATTACCTTTCAGCTCCATTTTTCTTCTGATCGATTTTACTATGCTAAAATACGGCTAACCACCTCAGCTATGCCATCTCTTATCGAGTTTTCTTTGAGGCAGATGGCTTCACGTGGTGGTGGACGTGTATCGTCTGATACCATGGGTATCAATTCCGGCATTCCACAAGGATCAATTTTGGCAGCAACATTATTCCTTCTTCATATCAATGATCTGTTGGGAGTAACAACTTGCCCCATCCACAGCTTTGCAGATGATAGTACCCTCCATACTGCGTTCTCTTCCAGAATTCCCATTTCTTCCCAGGAAACTAAGAACCCACGGCGCAGGCAGGTCAATGCTGTCAATGAAGACCTTGCTGAAATCACAGCGTGGGGAACCAAAAACCTAGTTGAATTCAACGCCACCAAAACTCAAACCTGCATTTTCTCTAGAAAGGCGAAACTCAGTATGCCCGATATTGTAATGTCTGGCACCACCATCACCAGCAAGCCCACCATATCTATGATCGCTATTTCCATCAGCAATACTCTTTCATGGGATAATCATGTCAGATCCATCGCAAAAGCTGCTTCACAAAAACTCGGATTCTTGTGTCGTGCGAAAAGCTTCTTCACACATCAACCAGCTTCTCATGATCTACAAAGCGCAGATACGGCCTGTTCTAGAATACTGTTCCCACATATGGGGTTCAGCACCAAAACATACGCTGATGCTCTTAGATTCCATACAGAGAAGAGCCATTCGCCTGGTGGGTGACGCCACACTCACTCACTCTTTGACATCATTGGAACACCGTAGAAAGGTCGGCGACCTTTCACTTTTCTATCGATACTTCCACGGGAAATGTTCTTTGGAAATCTCTGCTATCATCCCTTCACTAGCAATACCAGTCAGACGATCTAGACAAACCCAGTCACCACATCCTCTCGTTGTCAACCTCGAAAGATGTCGAACAGCACTTTATCAAAACTCCTTCATCCATAGAACAGCTAGGCTCTGGAATTCATTGCCTGAGGAAGTATTCCCAACAACATATAATCTCCAGAAAATCTAAAAAAATTCCAATACCTACCTCCTGTCCCTATCCTCCCTAGGAACGCACGATGTTCTTTGAACATTATAGGGATTTCCTTTGGTGCGCTCCAAGCGATGGAGAAATCATCAATATTGTCGGTAATTTTCAAATGGCTAAGAATTTCGAAAACTGAGATCACGATTTCGTTAGTAGGAGCAGAATTGTCCCTCTTATTTGGGCTGTGTCTTATTTTTTATAAAGAATTTGTATTGATAATAATTATATTAGTTCACACTAGGGGACATTTGGTCCGGTAAACGTGACAACACAGGATTATGGGCGTTGTCTTGTCAATTCTGAGCAGTCAGCGCGGTATTGCCAAATCTCTGCAGCCAATAGTTATAAGAAGCATTGTTATGGAGTATAAGAAATATTTTGACCAGCTGGTTGCCCAAAAAAAGTCACCAATTATTAACTATAATAGCATGTCATCCTCCTATGAAGTCTAATAACATATTTTATCTCTTTGTAGTTTTATTCAACTATTAACAACTTTCCAATAACTTGATTATGATTGGGGATCTGACATCTGACATCCTTGCTTCATTAGTGGGAATAAAAGATAAAAAACAGCCTAAGAACTGACTTCACCATAGGTATATCCGGTGGCCGTGACGGCACTTTTGAAATGAGCTTGAAATTGAAGAAGTGTTGCAAAAATTATTTCTGGTCGGTATGGACACAGTGGAGTAATTGAATACCGATTATCCACTACCATTCCAGTAGCACATTGACATCTCACAGAAATTAACAACTTTGTGAAACTTACGCCACATTTGACATTTGACAACATCAATACAGTTACCAAATTTGAATAGAGCCCAATTAAAGCCGTTTTGAAATACTATAGTATTCGGATATACACAGGGTGTTGTCGAAAGGAGTACATCAAATTAGACTGCCCAAAAGCGTCAAGCTGTACAACCGACTAGCACCATTGAAACAAATATATCATTTCAATTCTGTGTAGTCTTGGCCGTTCCTGCAATAATTATATATTCATATATTTTTCCGCATTCCACGCAAATCATACAAACCTGCTGAAGATCTGATTCCAAGTAAACACTAATGGGTTGGCGCTACCAATTTAAATTTTCTGATTTGGGAAAGTTGCACATATGAAGTATATTTTTTTGTTCATTTTCTTCGTATGATTTTGAACCAATCAGAACGTTCAATTGGGTTGTACAACGTTGTATGATTCCGAATATACGTGGATAGTAACTACATGATTCAGATATATTATAGAATTATTTCCATTTCCATAGTAACCAATTCATATTGTTTAATACAAACAGAGCGTGTCGTAAAATTCTGATGTTCAAAAATATTCAAAAAATAATCACATCGAATATAATTCGAACTTAAAATATCAAAGTTATACATCTCAAATCGTGTCAACAGAACAATCCTCCTCCCTCTTCGCGGTTAGATTATTTCAATTGTTGAACTGACACTCTCTGTAGTTATATAACAACTCATCCATGTACATATTACCCAAATATTTTGAAGTACTTACACTATTACTTCTGAATATACCAATTCGAATCTGATTTTTTCTTACTACAGGAGCTGGAGTTTTCATTTGGCAACATGCATTTGAACTGGATTGTTGATAGTCAAAAATATATGCTGAGTATCAATGATAACTTTGTGTTATCGCCACCATGTTCAATGGAAAATTTTCAGTTCTTCAACTACGAAAGCTTCGGTTTCTATTTGGTAACAGGCATTTGAACCAGATTTTTGATATTGGATAATGGATTGTGATATTCAAAGATAAAGTAGTATCGCCACGATGTTCAATCCATTAGAATTTGAGCAAGAATTTCCAGTTTTTCCGATAGAAGAGAGATGAACAAATATATATATTTTCACTACCCAGCCAGACAATCTTACTCCACGTCAGTCAATATTATTTGGGTTTAGCCTTTTTTGAAAATAATGAGCATTTACGAGAAAAAAAGAATTCGATAACAAGCATAATTTAAGTTGGAGAAACAAAACAAATTGACAAGATTATTGAAATCATCAGAATGAATGAAGAACGATCTGACTACTATGGTGAAAACACTTTAGTTATGTATTCCATATCAAGTAGTTCTTGATATAAGCGCAAGTATAGGTCTGAGATACCAAGTTTCAGTTTGACAATCAGTGAACTGAATGAAAAAAACATAATTTCATAATTTGATGAATAAAGTTATAATTCTCGTATTATGAGAAATAAACATATTCCATAGGTAGAAGAAATGACAATAAGACAAAGGCTAGGAGGCCGCAGAGACTCAGCTACACAGTTATGCAACATATCTCCACCAGGGGAATTAGCGGACGGCCCCAATCCTGGCAATCGGCGGAGAAGACGGAGTTCCTTAGCGCAGTTGACAGATCTTTTCAGGTGAAGATTTTTTTTTCAATTGTAAACACAGATATTTCAGTGCATTTTCGAATGCTGCATCAAATTCTGATGTTCCATGCTCTAAACCCATCAAACTCAAAAGTTACAGAGAAATTTACTATCGAACATATTAACATCAGCTCAGAATACATTTTTGAAGATAGGTGTTCCTTTCCGAAAAGAATGTTCCTAAAAACAAACCACATCCTCACAGTATACAGTGTGTCTCACTTACCATGCTCACCATGGGTATCTTTTTAACGGTGAGAGATACGAGGTCGGTTAAATGACACCAAATGTGGAGTTTGTCAAGGCCAACTATAATGTGAAAAAATATTTTGATAAAATCTATTCGTTTTAGTAATATACGCAAAAAACAGATTTAGTTCATTTTCATGTCTCCTCCGTAACTTCTTTATTTATGAAAATATTCAAATAGGAATTTCACATTCTCATGGCAGTTTTCAGAGTGATTTCGAAAAAAATATGAAATTTATACCAACTCTTTTAGAATTTGAGATATCAGCACCAACTTTAGTTTTTCAAATGTAGGTCATAGCTCACTATGACTTAGTTACAAATAACTTTCTTTTTCGCTTACAGATGATATGTCGCAGTAATAGTTTTGTGTTGATTACAACGGAGTTATCGTCATTTATACAAAAACAAAAAATTATTTGGAAGCCGTCATCTTGAATTTATAAATTTTAACAAAAAAATTATGATCTCCGACCTCAAAAACCCTCACTTATCAATTTTGAATGAAGTCGGACCAAATCTTGTCCGCCATCTTGGAGCAGCCATTCTTTTTAATTTCGACAAAAATTCCATAATGTATTGTGCACAAGATTTGGTCCGATTCCATTCAAAATTGATGAGTGGAGGTTCTGGAGGTCGGAGATCATGATTTTTTTGTTAAAATTTATAAATTCAAGATGGCGGCTTCCAAATAATTTTTTGTTTTTGTATAAATGACGATTACTCCGTTGTTATCAACACCAAACTATTACTGCGACATATCATCTGTAAGCGGACAAAAAGTTATTTGTAACTAAGTCATAGTGAGCTATGACCTACATTTGAAAAACTAAAGTTGGTGCTGATATCTCAAATTCTAGAAGAGTTGGTATAAATTTCATATTTTTTTCGAAATCACTTTGAAATCTACCTTGAGAATGTGAAATTCCTATTTGAATATTTCCATAAATAAAGAAGTTGCGGAGGAGACAAGAAAATGATCAAAATCTGTTTTTTGCGTATAAAACAAAAACGAATAGATTTCATCAAAATATTTTTTCACATTATAGTTGGCCTTGACAAACTCCACATTTGGTGTCATTCAACCGACCTCGTATCTCTCACCGTTAAAAAGATACCCATGGTGAGCATGGTAAGTGGGACACACTGTATATCAGTACTTTCATGTTTTTCGGTATTTTTTAGTACTGAATGGGCAAGAATATGTTTGGCTGTATGTATTCTATAGCAAATATCAACACCAATGAAAAAATAGTTGGTTTAGGTTCCTGTCAGCAATTTAGAATAAAACAAGAATAGTAGTAGTAGTATAATAATATACAGGGTGTTTCCTAACTACGGTTCCTAACTGCAGGTGGTGATTCGTTAGGTCATTTTAGGAAGAAAAGTTCCTATCAACATAATGTCCGGAGTTGCTTCGTTTCTGAGATGCCGGGCGGAAATTAAATCAAATGCTCAATGTTAAAACAATTCACCAAAAAAAGTCAGTGGCGTACTTTTTTTCACAATATTGTTGACTGTGGTGCCCACTGAGACGCCACTGGCCCCAATAATTTCAATCCAAATAGGGCTAAATAAGCGCCTCATTTGTTCAAATGACAGTACCAAATTTCAACCAGATCGGTTCCAGGATATTCATGATATTTTATAATAACCGTTTTCTTTTTCTTCAATTTCAACGCAACGAAGCAACTCCCGACATATGTTCATGGGAACTCTTCTTCTAGTTAGGAAACATCCTGTATACTATATGTTCTCTGTTGATGTGTATGTACAGACCAACTGGCAATCGAACTCACGAGAGGGTCTTCAGCCATGTGTGTTCTGTGTAGGCTTTGTTACTGACTTCATACGCCACCTTAGGAGAAGCATAATGAATTGGAACGCAACGGTGAATCGTACAACATCATCTCCCAAAGCTACGAAAATTACAATCTATAACTCTGTCGGGAATTCGATCTAGCGACCTTTCGATGTTCTAGTTACTAGTCGTGCACTTCTGTACTGCGCTATTCTGTCGTCAACTAAGAATATATTCTATAGATTCTTGTACTTTCATAACCGATTTGTTGGAAGAACAAGCTGATAATGAAACGTTGCCAACAGAAACAGAAAAGATGTATGATAGATATCTCGAGTGCTCTAATCCATAATACTCTTTTTCTCTAGGGATTGGGGAAGCTCCAAAAAGAATCAAAAGAAGCTGTACAGACGCGAAACTTTAGCAGATTTAGTAAGGACGTTACCATGGGAGAAACAATCAGAGTCAGAGGGTATGCCAACTCCCAATATTTCCACACAAAGGTAATGTCGATGGTATGAAGTGTTAATAAAGAATGTAGTACTCTTTTATCCTTTATACCCCCACTCCAGTTGAGCAATTGTTGAATTTCGAGTTGTTCATTCGAATTTGGGTATATAAGGGCTGATTCAGGGTTATCATCTTCATTGTTCCTTCATATCTCCTTCATAAGTAGTGTTTTTCTCGGATCAGAAACAGACTCCCCCTTTGATGAGTAAACGATATAGTGATATATATTAAATCCTAATACACCTCACCTCCTTTAAGTTCCCGATTCGCAACTAATTTCTACATTGATCCCTTGCTTTTCGAATATAGAAGTGTAATCAGTTCAGTAATTGTAACTACGCATTTGGGTACTAATAGCTAATTCATAGTTATAGTTTATTTTTGTAGTCCAAGATTCTCTCTCAGCAGGCATAGCAGTTCTTTCCTCATAGCTCATTTGTATATAGCTTTTTTTTCGACCACAAAGAGACTCTGAAATCATGAAACACTGAGCGATGTCATCATTATGAACCCGCATTTCGTTGAGATACGTCCTCTGGCAGTAAAACGAAACTAGTTTCTTCTTTCATCTCCAGTTTTCAACTAAGAGAGTTATCAGTCTGGTATCTTCCACTAACAATTCACCTTCTGAGTGCTAGGTCTTGAATTGAATTTGTACATTTAAAAACAAAGCTTCATATTCGGCTGATAATTTCTAGTAGTGTAGCTGTATCCATTCGGAGAAACTGTTTATGTTATAACCAGGATCGAATCATTTTCTAGGAACCGACACAGGAACCTGAAATTGTCTTTCTAGATCGCTTCAGGACTCTCACTATTTCATCTACGACTTTAAGGCCGAGGTTGCCAAGTTGTGGCACCGCAAGAACATCCGCACTGCCACCATATCATCCTAACACTCGCTCCTTTTTCCAGTTGTTAGCTAGTTAGTTGTCTACTATCCCAGCTTCAGTAGAGCCATCGTTGAATTCAAAGTTATCCTCTTGCATTTGGGCACTTCAAGCGCTGATTTGGAGTTGATGTTTGGAGTTGAAGTTCCTCTTCCAGCAGTGTTATCAGCTTCATTATCGTTTCAAAGAGTCAAGGTTGATAAGTTGTGACATCACAGGGACAGTTGCATCGCCATCATATTATACTGACACTCATTTTCTCCAACAGTTGCTAGCTAGATGGGGCATCCATCAATATTGTTCTACAAATTCACATCAGTACAGCCATTGTTTAATCTGTCAATAATTTGTATCAGTGTATCTATCACGACTCGAAGACAGTGTTTATGTTACTATAAGAAATGAACTGTACTCTAGTCGAGAATCTAGTGCTGACTCAGGTATCCAAAGTTCCCTGTCCAGATCGCGCCGAGACTCCCACTCCATCATCTACGACTTCCAAGGCCGAGATCGCCAAGTTGTGACACCGCAAGGACAGCAGAACCACCACTATATTGAACTTACAAATGCTGTTGTTAGCTAGAGAGAATATCCATCATTAGTGTCCTTCAATCTTTCCCCAGTAGAGCCATTTTTGAGTTTCAAGTTGTCCCCTAGGCATAAGGGTGCTCCAAGAGCTGATTTGGAGTTGACGTTTGGAATGAAAGATCCTTTTTCAGCAGGATTATCTGCTTTATCATTGCTAATGGCCCAGGTTTCCAAGTTATCACACCACAGGAACAGTTGCATCGCCATTATAAATTACTAGGAATCGCTTCCTCCTCGAGTTGTTAGCTAGATGGAGAATCCATCATTATTGTCTTTCAACTTTGCCCTAGTAGAGCCATTTGAATCTGCCAATGATATCTAGTAGGGTATCTATCATTAGTCACAGCTAGTGCTTATGTTACTAACGGGAACGAATTGTTTTCTTGGAACCGTCGACACTCTGGTGCCGACTCAGATATCCAAAGTTCTTTTTCCAGATCGCGCCGAGACTCTCACTCCATCATCTATGACTTCAAGGCCGATGTCGCCAAGTTGTGGCACCGCAAGGACAGCCGCACCGCCACCATATCGAACTAACAAACACTTCCTCCTCCAGTTGTTAGCTAGAGAGAATATCCATCATTAGTGTCCTTTAATCTTAGCCCAGTAGAGACATTTTTCAGTTTCAAGTTGTTCCCTAGGCATGAGAGTACTCTAAGAGCTGATTTGGAGTTGACGTTTGTAGTTAAAGATCCTCTTTCAGCAGTTGTTAGCTCAAGTTGTTAGCTATTAGATAGGGAATCCATCATTATTGTCCTTCAACTTTGCCCCAGTGGAGCCATTGTTGTATCTGCCAATGATTTCTAGTAGCGTATCTATCATCAGTCACAGCAAGTGCTCATGTTACTATCAGGAACGAATTGTTTTCTAGGAACCGTCGAGAATCTAGTGCCGACTCAGGTATCCGAAGTTCCCTTTCCAGATCGCGCCGAGACTCCCACTCCATCATCTACGACTTCAAGGCCGAGGTCGCCAAGTTGTGGCACCGCAAGGACAGCCGTACCGCCACCATAGTGAGCCCAAGCAGCGGCCACGGCCCGGCGGTCTCCAGGAGGGACAGCGAGGAGTACCCGGGCACCAGCAGGAGGGACTCCACGGCCGTCTATTCGCAGTACGCTTCGAGGAGGGGCTCGGGGGAGAGTGGTAAGGGTAGGAGGGACTCGGTGCCTACCGTGTCGTCGCCTCCTAGGGTGGTCAGCGTAAAGAGGAAGGTGCGGACGCATTCGGAGTCCCCGTATTATAGGTAAGAGTAGGGCCGTAACTACGGTGGGGCGAAGGGGGTGACTGCCAAAAATCGATCAGATGATATAATGATAATAATAATAATAATAATTTATTCACATATACATCCAATAAACAGATACAGTTTATGCATGGTGAAAAAGATAACAGAATCCTTGTAAGTACAATACTTAACACTGAGTATCCATATAGTTGAAGATTTAGGGGTGAATAAATTGTAAGTCTACAGGAGGCAAGGCCTGTGCGTAGACTAGTTCTATTTCCCAACAACAATATAGGCACGAGGTGAATTATTGTAGATGCAAATGCAACAGTTAGATCTGTTTCATTTTATCATTTTCATGTTTTGGAGATTTCACTTTCTTATGAGTCGTTTGTATTGGGGGTGCTATAGGACTTCACACTTCACAATAAAATATTTCAATGGTGAATGACTTCAATTATTATATAACTACTCCGAATTTGTAATGAATATATAGAAACACTGACTGAATTGTTGAAAACAATAATAAAATAGCAATGGTAATAATAACAACAATAACAACAGTAATACTAATAATGATAAAAACAATACCAATATATATTATTCAGATATTTGGCTGAGGATTGACTAATTTATGTAGTTCTTTCCGAGTTTTTGAAAGAATCCATTTACTCATCATTTTTTTAAATAAGTGGTTCGAGTTGATCCTCTTTATTTCAATGGGAATTAAATTATAAAGTTTAGGACCTAAGTAAGGGTAGCTTCTTTGCATTAGACATTTTTCAGCCCTTGGCATATAAAAGCGATTCTCTTTAAATCTAGTACTATAGGAATGGTCGATATTCACAAGTTCATGTTTGTTATTGTGTTGTCTCATAAGAATGTTCTTACAGAATAATTGACGAATAACCTCGATGCTTCTGAATTCATTCATGGAATTGAAAGTTTTAAATTTCAAGCATCAGCTCTTGTGCACAATTTTGCCGAGTTAGATCACATTCAAACTCTCAGTAAACTAAAACTAGTGGAGAGTTTTTTGAGGTCTCCAATAGGCCAGGAAAGATTGACCGATATGGCTATACTTAGCATTGAGAAAGAATAAACAGCTGCTTCAGTCACCGAACATAAACATGTTCGGTGCTTCAGTAGATTTTGAAGATATGATTAATGATTTTGCTGTAGCTGAAGCAAAAAAAGTTGGCGTACAAATCGTGTAGTCAATAACAGTGCAAAAAAGGAAATATGCTCCATGGTCTGGAAAACAATTGATTTAGATCATGAAAAAAAGTGAAGAAACCTGTATAACTTACTGCCACTGTTAAATGATATAAAATTAGGTTCTGAATTTATATGAATATAAATTTATCATTTAAAGGTCGGGTTCATATTTTATAAGGGCCCACGTGTCCTTGAATTACCGAAAGGTGATAATTAAACTTTGAAGAATCAAACCAAAAGTTTGATGACCCGATAAAAAGTACCCTATAACCCTCTCCTGGTTTTAAGCTACCTCCCTACCAACTTTCAGCCAAACCGATCCAGTAGTTTCGAAGCCCATTCAATACATACAAGCAAACCAACAATCAAATATTTCCTCTTCATAATATTAGTATAGAATTACAAAACTCGTTACCCATATTGGTTCCACTATCTTGAATTTCCGAATTCTGTCCGAATTTTCTAAATCTGACGAAGGAATCATAATTTCCGACCCCGAGAATCCCCAGATACCAATTTCGAATAGAATCGAACTATAATTACAAAACTCGTCCGATATATTAGATCCACCATCTTGATTTTCCTAATGATACCGGAAAGAAAAGTATCCTATAACCTATTTCTCCTGGTTCTAAGCTACCTCCCCACCAATTTTCAGCCAAATCGATCCAGTAGTTTCGGAGCCTATTCAATACATTCAAACAAACAAACAAACAAACAATCAAATGTTTTCCCTTTATAATATCAGTATAGATGTATCCATTTTTTGCATGTTCATAATAATATTCGAGAAGATTCCTCTTTATAACCAATCAAAGGGTTCAAACTTGAACGATGGAATCTTGTTATTTTTATAGACCTCTAATCGCACCAGCAGACTCGATTCGTGATCGGGTTTCCTCAATTCAGAATTTCTTTCCACGTCCCATATCACGAATATCAATTCATCATACATTCAAAAACAAAAGTAATATTGACCAACGTAGGTGATCCATAACTAAGTATAAGCATGGTTTCTTCTTACCGATTTTCTTTCGATACATTTGCTGATGATGCAGGATTGATCCTTCGAAACATGTCCTTACTTATGTCCATGACCGTTGGTCATTATTAAATTTTTTTTTATGTAGTGGAGTTGTGACTGTAAGTTCTTCCACCAAAAGTAATATTTGTATTCGTTATAGACAGGAACAAAGGCCCTCCACGTCTTCCACCGCCTCCGACTCCGCTTCCCCCGCCCCCACCACCGCCCCCTCCACCGGAGGCGGGGGCACGGTGGACGTGGGCACGGGCGCTCTGCCGCCCCCCACCATCGTGATGTCGAGCGTGACGCCACCCGCCACGTCGCCCACGGTGCAGAGTCCGTCGGCGGGGCAGCAGCCGCCCCCAGTGCATCCGCTGGTCGGGACCAGGAGGGACTCCACCACGCAGTGCGGCCGAACAGGTTAGATTATATTTAGAATGGGTCCTTCGGGCTTTCTGCCTCCACACCGCGACCTTTTCAGATCTATTGTGTCTGCCCTCAAAATCGATTAGAGTTCTTCGGCTAGCCCCGCCTTCTCTATGAGACTCCATAGGCTGGCTTTCAGATCTCCTGTGTATCTTTGGGCTTCTGGTTTTTCCTCACCCAGCGTAAGGAACCTTAGTCTTGACAAGCCCTCACAGTGGCAAAGTATGTGTACTGCTGTTTCCTCTTCTTCCTGATAGAACCTGCACAGTAGTTCTTCAGTCAGACCTATCGTACTCATGTGTTTGTTGAGCCTACGATGCCCTGTGAGAAGTCCCCCTAGTATTCTAGTTGTACTTCGTTTCTGGCTCAGTAAATATTCTGTGAATGTTGGCGATGGTTTTTTGATAAACTCTTCCGCAATTCCTGGCAAGTTGTTTCAGTTGTTTCTGAGATTTGGTTTGCATCCATGATTTGATACGACTCGTCTTTTGGATAGCTTTCGCAATACCACAAAAGGGTTCTGGGCCATTCAGATCCTTGTTTGCTCCTGCTCGGGCAAGTGAGTCTGCCTCTTCATTTTCCTCGTACCATGTATATGCTGGTTTCCATGCTAGAGTCAGTCTGTTCTGACTGCCCAGTTCATTTAGGGTTTCTGAACAGTCTCATACTAGCATTGAATTAACTTGCATTGAGTTAACTGCTTTGATTGCCGCCTGGCTATCTCTTGCCTTATCAATTCTTTCACGCAATGATGTATTGCAATAATGTCGCGTATATGCATAAGCTCAGTGAGATTCTTGCCTTTGGCTTGGCCCTATAAATACCAGTCCCTGACTCTTCCTCGGTTTTGGAGCCATCCGTATGGACAGCAATGTCTGCATCGAGGTCCTCACTTCCATGCCTCTCTGTCCGTTATACTCTTTTAATAGTTTATTCAAAGCTATATTCCGGGATTATTCCATCTGTTGGGTATCCCATAATGGGGTCGATTTCCAACTCTTCATAAAGCTTCCTGTAGTCTTTACCGTGCGTGTTGCTTTTGTCTGCTTGACCCCTGGACAATCTACTCACGACTGCTCTGGCTAAATGTATAGGTGTAGCGGTGGCAAGTTCAAGAGGACCTCTAAAGCGGCTGTTGGCGTGATTTTCATTGCACCAGTCCCGCTCAGGCAAGCTTGCCTTTAAATGGCACTGGGCCTTCAAATCACTTCAGCCTGTTGTGTCTTTGGCCACCAAACTACCGACCCATATGCTTTCATGGTCCTGATGACACTGGCATAGAGCCATGTGGTCATTTTTGGTTGTAGTCCTCAATTGTTTTCCCACAATCGTGTGCACAGATTGAAGGCCACTGTACTTATTTGACCAATTTTTTGTAGGTATCATAATTCGATCGAAATGAATCTATGTTTCGGTCTGGACACACCTAAGATAAAACATAAGTTAGGGCGGGAAGTAGAGGTGTACAAATATAAAGCATTTCCAGACACACGTATATATCAATGCGAATGATATAATTCATCTCTCTAAATTTCATAGGCAGAAGAGACTCGAGAACCCACTCTAGCCCAGAACAGCGCCACTCGCGCCTCCAGCGCCAAAACACAGCCTACGACGAGAGCTGTCTACCCCCGGGCGGCTGGACGCCCAAAGAGAGTCGCAGAGACTCCCAGACCACCGCCCTGAGTCCCGACGTCGACGAGTCGGGCAGGAAGGCCAGGCGCGACTCCCTGAGCCCCGACTCGGCTTCCAAGAGCAGGCGCGACTCCAGGTCGAGACTGAGTCCGGACAGGTCCATGGAGAGGGAGATCAGTCCGGTGAGGAGGAACAGGAGGACGCCTAGGAGGCAGTCGACGACGGTGGGAAGGCCGCATGCGCACAGGTCGCCTGATTCCTCTAGGTGGGTGCAGTGGCAACCATAAGAAGTATTTTCCCCATGCTCTACTCATTTTATTCATTTCTTCCAACCTCTCGTTTCATCCATACGATTTAATTATTTGGGGGGTACGAATCTTTTCTTGATCACAGGCTTGGGTAGCAAATCATATGATATTATATGATCCAAGAATCATATCACTCATCTCTCATAGGTTCTTCATAGAACATTAATTGGGCTGTACGATTGGCCTGCTGGAAAGAGAAGGCAATCACAGAAGAAGTGCTTTAGGACGGATTGCCTAAGCTGAAAGGTTTTCTGAATGATGGGAAACTGAAGGCTCTTAGAAACATGAAGGATAATAGTAAGGAAAGTAGCCTATGAAGCCTCAAAGTGGAAGCAATGCTATGGACAAAAAATAATAAAAACGATTCTGAGAGCAGGCGTTATAGATTCGGAAAAGTCACTGTGTATTTGTGTAAGGTGAGGAAACATTCGAATCAACCTCATCTACAGTGTGTGCGATTTCAACCCGCAACAGCCTCCTAATTTGGAACTCGTCGACCGATTTTCAAAAACAAAAATTCCATAATATAGCACTCAACGATTTTCAAGGCCTACTTTTGTTTGTTGAAAGGGTGTTAGTTATTCAATGGCAAATTTTGATATTTTTGATTTTTCGATTCACCCTGTATCAAAATCTAAGGAGTTGATATAAATAGTTCACTGTATTTATTCTACAGAGGAACACATTGAATATATAGGTACGAAGTTTCATCGCTGTCACTTCTACAGGAAGATAGAAATTGGAATCGTTTTTTTTTATTATGATCCATAACTTTTACGTAGGAGATATAGATAATGGGGGAATATTCTCTATACATAAAAATTTTCATTGTCATCTCAAATTTTCATTCCAAAATCGGTATATTATTATGATCACATCAAACATCAGTATATCTCCTAGCAGTCTTTAGAGAGTATTTGTCTGTCATTCTATTTGTGTTATATTCGACAGCTGTTTATCAAACAAGATGATTTTCATAGTGACTGTGTGGTGTAGTGTGTGAAATACGGTTTACTTGAGTTATCAGAATGGTGAATCTCAACTTTAGCTTTATTGATTTTTGGTTGATCTAGAGAGATCTTCCTGTAGAAGTTACAGCAATGAAAGTTCCTACCTATGTATTCGATGTGTTCCTCTATTGAATAACTAACTTCAACAAACAAAAGTAGGCCTTGAAAATCTGAATATTCCAAATTTGTCCACATCGATTAGAGCTCGTTGAGTAGCATATTATAGGATTTTCGTTTCTGAAAATCGGTCGACGGGTTCGGAATTAGAAGGGTTGCGGGTTGAAATCGCACACACTGTATATACTTCCAAAAGGTCATTATTTTCCTTTTCTACGAGGCAAATCAGATTAACGATTTTAGGCCAGGTGATAGAATAGTATGTTCTGTAATCCTTTTACCAGGAGTTAAGCAAACTATTCATGTTTGCTAGTCAAAGGTTGAATAGCCAAATCATTTCCTGATCGATATTACAAACTCAAGTATCTCAGATAACCAGATGTTATCGAAATGAAGCAATAATTGTAGATACAAACTCTTTATCTCTGTGACACAAAGATTTTCGAGCTCATTAGAGAGGGTAATCTGAGAACACATCCCCTGAATTCTCATCAATATACCTACCAAACGGGCAAATCTAAGGATTAAGCACTAAACAATCTTGTAGGCAAGACCAGTCGTTCCTTAGATTACAAGGAAATCGCGCTGGCAGCTTTCCTGAACATAGAAGGCGCGTTCAATAGTGCCTTGCGACAATCACTCTATGAATTTGGCAATGAAAGGTACAGGAATCAGCAGTCAAATATGCAATTGAATCGAGCCCATAATAAGAAATCGGTACGTCATATCATCACTGCATGGAGAGTCGAGCGGTTTAGAGCGGCAAAAGGTTATCCACAGGGCGGGGTACTTTTCCCTCTTATTTAGTAATTCCTAATTGACTCTCTGTTGAACGATCATTCCACGCAGGGAGTGAATTTCCAATGCTATGCAGATAATTTTGTACTGATAGTAAAAAGAAAATTTGAGGCGACGATATCAAACGGCCTACAAGAAGCCCTTAATATCGTGTACAGATGGTGCGAGAGGGAGAAGATGTTTGTGAACCTCTGGAACACTTTAATAATCTCTTTCACCAAAAGACAACAGCTAGATAAGCTTCCGCAGCCTGTCCTATATGAAGAAAGCATTCCGTTTGCGGTGGAGATGAAATATCTAGGTCGCATCCTCGATGAAAGATTCACCTGTAACTTCCACATAGCAAAAACTATTAACAAAGCCAGATTTTTCCTCTGGAATCGCAGAAGGGTATGCGGTGATTCATGGGGAATGAACCCCGAACAGATTCACTGGATTTACCAGAGAATGATTAATCCAATGGTCACGTATGGCTCGGTAGTCTGGTGGACTGAAGGTCTGCAGGGGACAGCCAGAACAGAGCTCGCTGGTCTTCAGTGGCTGGCATGCCTAATTATTACAGGGGCGATGTCCTCTACTTCAACGGCAGCGATGGAAAACCTCCTATAGATTCCTGTCATTGTAAAATCAAATTAGAGGGTGGCGACTGCTGGACCACTCCAGGATACTGTGTGAAATAAATAATCACGAAACTCTAGGAATCAATCCTGACATGTTAGCTACTCAGACACAGGTAGAGAAGTCTTTCAAAGTCCTTCTTCCGAAGAGAGACGAGTGGGCAAGAGGATCAATCCAATTCCCAGAGACCAAGCACGAAATGTACACAGTTGATTCGAAAACCCCGCTTGGAGTTAGAGGCAGTGTGTTCAGCAGAAAACCGAAGACGAAAATATCAGTCAATATCGGCAAGAATGCTACAGTCTTTCAGGCGATGGTCTTCGCCATTGAAACGTGTGCTAGATAGTTGACGAATAGACCTCTAGTAAAACAAAATATATCAGTATTGTATCGAACAGTCAGGCTGCTCTTCAAGCACTGAGCTCCAGCAAGATAAATTCCAAGCTCAAATGGAACTGTACTGAATCCCTGAAATACCTGGGTGCTAATAACCGAGTCCATTTGCTGTGGCTGCCTGGACACAAGAGGGTGGAGGGCAACGAGAAAGAAGACATCCTTGCCAAACAGGAAACCGAACAGAGAATCGACTCATAGTATGGTTCATAGGACCTGAACTATACTTTTGGATCACCGCAAATGCGTCTTAAACAACTATCTCGGAATGGGTGAAGGCTTTCCTGCCTAAATCATCGGGAAATACAGCCAGGCAGATCCTAGAATGGAGCAAGGGTAACCTGCTGACAGGACTGCTAACGGGACACTGTCGTCTTAGATACCACCTAGGTAGGATAGCTCTGAACCAACAAGTGGACTGTCGGTTTTGTTTTGTGGAAGACGAAACGGCTGAACAAATACTATGTTCATGCTCTTGCTAAGAGAGGCTGAGGTTCGACATATTTGGGTTTACCAACTCATAATCTACCGATTTCAGATAAATCTCACCTGAATCAACCATGAATTTGTACAAAAATGTGGATTGTACAGTGCCTATCTGGGGTCGCAGTAGAGAGACGGCCTACTTTTCTTCAAGTAAAGATTATTTATTGAAGGATGCCATCACATTGTGCTGTTGTACTATGCACAAGACATGGAGCAAGAGACGAAGGAATATTATTTTTCAGGTAAGTAAATTCTGATCCTGAAGTTCTGTACTCAGTCACTCACCTAGTTTTTATTTTGAAATTTTGTTATTTTTCTTCAGAATTCCTTATGCAATAGGTGCTAATGAAAAGACTCGTGAAGTTTCTGAAAGAAGGCAAGCGGAAAAAGCTGGACGGACTGGTCTGGCACGTTGATGAAATATATGAACGTGTGTTTTGTAGACATTTTCACTATGAGCTCCTATTAGTCCTATTGCAGTAGAAATCCTGGAGGAAAATGACGAAATATCAAAATGAAAACTATGTGAGGTGACTACAGTACTTTGAGATTACAATAATTCACCTTTTGAAATATCATTCCTTCTCCTCTCGCTGCACTCCTTGTTTATTGTACAACAGCTTTGGAAATGAATAGTCCAAAAAAAAAAGATCCGTATGCCAAAATAGTTGTAAGGACTATATCAATCCTCTGCGAATAAATAAGAGAAGTCAGAGTGTTTCACCTCCAGGGTCGATCATCTGTCAGACAAAATTTATCTGCCATTTCCGCGAATCCTTATAAATTACTCTTTCTATACTTTCCTTTTAGCTGCTCCAGTCGCGACCCGAGCCCCAGCAACAGGGGCAATGCCCCGCCCCCTGTGGAACACCACCGCCCCGCCATCCGAAGACAATCCACCACCGAGGAGATCCTCATAGCCCGCGGCTTCCGCAGACAATCCACCACTGAAGAGATGATCCGCTGCAGGAACTTCCGCAGGCAGAGCTCGCAGAGCGACGACTCGCAAAGGTACCGCGGCAGGAGGGACTCGTCCACGCAGATCTTGGACGGTACCGTTGCATCCATGACAGTAGAAACTTCTAGTACGGTTTTTGATTCTAGCACGCAGACAGGTAAGGGGGTTTGTGAAAGACGGCTGTCAATTCTTGGTGTCGGAGGTGGTTGTTTCCGTTGACGACGATGTTCTCAAGGTGTGAATCGGTCGTATTCGTGGGAATCAATGTTACCAGGTGGCGCTCGGTTTTCATCGTTTCATGTCGAAGTCGAAGCCACGTCAAAACTGGGGGGAAAACAAACTAAATCCTCACTGAATCCCATTAGTGCCATTAGCTTGTGTACTGTGTGTACTGATAATGGTGATAAGTTTTTCTGAATTTTCAGTATGTTGTAGAATTCGATGAACTGATTGAACCTGCAGAATCGTAAAGTTCTTTGATGAACAGATTCTGAGATACAGGGCGTTGAAGTTACAAATCGGTATTTTTCATTTAATTATTTTCTCGAAATTCAAAGATGCCAAGTACAATTTTCTTCGCTCATATCATTAACGAACCTCCATATTACTCAACATAATTCAGATGGTTCAGATGATATAATTGTTTACAGAGTGAAACATATAAACATTTCAGTGATGTCTGAAAATTCGATGTAATAATGAAATATCGAAAAAATAATTTAGGCATGCAATAAACTATTCTCATTCCATCATGAATCACAATTCATACATTTCATACAGGGTGATTTGAAAAATTTGTGACACCTAAGACCGATTTATTCATACACATCCTGTATATTCGAGTGAATTGTTAACCTCCCAAGATAGCTGATGCCGTATGAACATGATTTCGTTGAGATATATAGGGTGATCATGAAGATTTTCGATGATGAAAATGACAAAAAATCGTGTTTTTTGAAATCACCCTGTTATTCATGATTAACTCGGTGAAATTCCCTAATTACTTTTTAATATATTCATCATTCGCTCCTCAACGCTGTCTTGAAAATTCAGTTTCCTATCATGACGGGTGTCATAGTTATTAATTCAGGAACTTACCATTTGCATGAAGAGTTGAAGAGACTTGTTCACTTACATTCGCATAGTGGCCGATATTTTTCACAAATAGTGAAACGTGAGAATGTGGAGACGAAAATAAGTTAAGTATTCATATACAGGGTGAACATTAGAAATTCAATAACAATAGCAGATATATGAATTTAATAATGCGTATATGCAGTTAGCTCCGGAATGGTGGATTGCATTGATGGATGGGCCTTCATAGATCATTTATGTTACACTTGATCTCCACATTCTCACGTTTCACTATTTGTGAAAAATCTCGGCCACTTGACGAATATGTAAATGAACAAGTTCCTTCAAGTCTTCATAAATTGATGAACAATAAATTCCACGAAGGGAATATTCTAAGTTACAACACCCAATCTGAAGTCAACAATCAGTAGCCGCGTGACAAGTTCAGTATTTTTTTGTCATTATGTCCCATACAACAACTTTTCATATTTATCGCTGCTATTTCGGAAACATCCAGTATGATAGGATTATTTATATAACACCATCATACGTATTGAATTATATCATTGGAATGTGATATGAATATGAATCTAATATTATAATAATTACTGATAGCAAGAAAATATGAAAATGATGGAAACGCCTGATTCTGAGTGGAAAACAAATGTGAAAAAATCTGTCGATTCCAGGATTCAACTCTCCCTATTAGAAATGGAAGCGTGAAAGACCGAATCAATCGAATCATTCTCCCATCTCCTAGGTATTGTTCGTTTTTCATTTTGGCAGAGCTTGTATACCAACGAAATTCGCCTAACTATCTGTACATTATATTAATATTATTAAATTCATATATCTGCTATTGTTATTGAATTTCTAATGTTCACTCTGTGAATACTAAACTTTTTTTCGTCTCTACATTCTCACGTTTCACTATTTGTGAAAAATATCGGCCACTATGCGAATGTAAGTGAACAAGTCTCTTCAACTCTTCATGCAAAAAGTTCCTGAATTAATAACTATGACACCCGTCATGATAGGAAACTGAATTTTCAAGACAGCGTTGGGGAGCGAATGATGAATATATTTAAAAATAATTAGGGAATTCCACCGAGTTAATCATGAATAACAGGGTGATTTCAAAAAACACGATTTTTTGTCATTTTCATCATCGAAAATCTTCATGATCTTCATACGGTATCAGCTATCTTGGGAGGTTAACAATTCACTCGAATATACAGGATGTGTATGAATAAATCGGTCTTAGGTGTCACAAATTTTTCAAATCACCCTGTATGAAATGTATGAATTGTGATTCATGATGGAATGAGAATAGTATATTGCATACCTAAATTATTTTTTCGATATTTCATTATTACATCGAATTTTCAGACATCACTGAAATGTTTATATGTTTCACTCTGTAAACAATTATATCATCTGAACCATCTGAATAATGTTGAGTAATATGGAGGTTCGTTAATGATATGAGCGAAGAAAATTGTACTTGGCATCTTTGAATTTCGAGAAAATATTTAAATGAAAAATACCGATCTGTAACTTCAACGCCCTGTATCACAGAATCTGTTCATCAAAGAACTTTACGATTCTGCAGGTTCAATCAGTTCATCGAATTCTACAACATACTGAAAATTCAGAAAATTTCACCGAGAACCATTTTACGTACTAAAAGTGCGGGGTCCTTTCTTGACATTAATTGTCAATATTCGTTCGAAAACGCTAATAATGCCTGTTGTAGATGTTCTTTTGGCAGATATTTTGCTATATTCATATGGAAAAAGCCGACCAGTAGTGGAAGGACAAGCAGTTCTCCGTGCTAATCATGAGATTTTGTGTGAGGCAGAAGACTTCAACAGAATGCACATTTTTGAACTTTGTCTACAAACTTTGGCGATGAAATCTTCCCCACATGAAGTGGAATTGAAGTTAGGGTCCGGAGGAACTCCTGTAGAACAATGGATTGGTATTTGTTCATGCAAAGCAGGACAATCTGGGTATTGTAAACATGTTGTAGCTGTTCTTTTATATGTCAACCGATTTGCTCGTCATAATTAGTTTCAATTGTTCGAACTATATCTAATTCTTCACCCGTTCACTATTCACCAAACTAATAAAAATGTAAACCAACTCAACCATCATCACTACCAACAGTGCCAACACTTTATGTCATTGACAAGTTTGACTACAGCTACACCAAGCTGAATGCAATGTGGTCTATGCACTTTATCCATAGACAACAGTTTGTTTTCCTCCAGTTTAAAGTTCATATCATGTAACCTAGATGTCGCCCACTTCGTAAATCTCGCGAATAGTAGATATAGGGCTTACTAGAGTTCCTCAATGTACTCGACACTATCGTTTTGAAAATTTTGTCTATTCAAAGTGCGGACACTATGACAAGCACTTGCAGTCAGACATAACCGATGAAAAACACAGGAACTGACAGTTCACGAACGTACATGACATAAATTTCGAAGACTTATCCAATTGAAATGTCTGTGCATTGCTTCTTCGAAGTTGAGAACCCAAGTCTGAACGTGTTCGAAGTTAATAAATGCGGAGCCTCTTCAACTATGATGCCAAGATACTGACCGGATATGAACCAACAACCCATTTAGCAATGTGAACAACGATTTATATTATAGATGGTTCGCTGTTCCGTTATATCTAATAGAATCTCTTTCATTCGTCCTAACTGACGCATCGTCATTGAAGTATCATGAATCTATCATACTATATTTCCTAATATCTATTGTTATTGGAGCCATATCATTTGTTCATTCAATTACTTATTATCAACCACTCTGCGTTAATTTCTTGGAAGAGTTTATATGTACTTGGTTGGTCTTTTCACAGTATACACCGCTAGGGTGTATACTGTGGTATTATTAACATACCAACTGGCAATCGACCTACATCGAGGACCTTCAGTTCGATTATACCATATTCTAAGGAGAAATCATTTCCTATTCGATTTATCGTATCCTCTTTCCCATTCGAGGAGAAGCTATGCACCATGTACTTTTCCCTGAACATGTAGAGGAAGGAAGATGCAAGTAGCCTTTATCTTCTGAACTAACACATTCTTGTTCATGTCAGGCAAAACATATGCTCTACTGCCAAATCGTTTTTTGTTATGTCTCACGGTCACTGTTTGTCGAGTGTCCGTACTCTATTATATGAAAGAAGTCGATACAAAAGAGTCTCCAGGGTCCACTAGGGAGGTATGTAGCTAGGTCAAGAAATAGGCAATAATAAGTTACCCCAAAAAAAGCAATAGTTCTGAAACTCCACAAACATAGGTACCGGTAGGTCCACTGAAGACTAGCCACACTCAATAACTCAGAGAAGAATGATTTTACAGAAAAACAAGTTGACACGTCAATTTTTGTTTGGATGGGGACACTGTTTGATGGAAAGACAATCATACATACTTCAACCCTTTACCCCCCAGAGCAGCTCCTTCTATAATTCAAAAAGAAAATGAGGGGCATGTTGCTAATTGCAAATTTTGATTTGATTTACTTAGTGAATGAGTATTGACAACCAATGTTCAAAATGACCTTCATTGACTCTCAGACAGTAGAGTCTATTTGTAAATCCCTCTTGCACATTTCACGATGTTTCTCTCGTTATTTCCTGGCATCCCATCTTTATTTTCCGTTCCAAATCGTTCAGGTTAGTAGGTTTTGTTTTATATACGATAAATTTCAAATGACTCCAAAGGACGAAACCAATGGGTGCCAAGTCCGGACCTCGATGATTTGGTCAGATAATATTTATATTCAACAACAAATGCATATATAAGGTCGTAGAGTTCAATAAAATGGCCAGCAAGGTTACCCGACTGAAGCACTCAATGTTTTTTTCTGTGAAGTCCTTCGAAATCCTTCACTTATGAAACGGAACCTACTGATCTGGAGAGTTTGTAAAGAAGAATAGGGATTGAATGCCACAGGCAATAGCAAGATAAATATTCTCAAATGTGCTAAGTTCGCAAATAGACTAACCACTGCCTGGAGGTTAATGATGGTAATTTCGAACATTCATTGTTGAGAATACATT